AAAGTATTAAGGACTTTTAAAGTTGTAGCTTGTTTGACATTTTTTCAAGAATCTGAAGTGTCTGTTATTAGATGCAGAGCTAACAGCCATAGGTGGTTTTGGGGGTTTTCTAAGAGTCTTTGGAGCTTTGAGTAACAGCACCAGACAACGATTTAAAGAACAGAGTTAGATTGCTAAATGTTACTTTTTAGAAGGTAAACAACCTTCTAATGGTTTTCAACTTTAAATGTGGTTTAGTTCAAAGGCTAATAAAGATTGTGACACAAATATCATATACTAACCCACACAATATTTGCTGTTTAATTCATGTGTTGCAGAAGCGCAAAAGCAATTGCAGAAGCAATTTATATCCTGAAGATATTCACAATAAGATGATGGAGTACAGGACAGATTTTTTCAGGATTTCCTGAACCCTGAGAAGATAAAAAAGATGGGAATGGCAAAGTGCTTACACTAGAAAAAAAGTGTTCCTGTGTGAAGACCAATATCACGGTACCTTACAGTCAGAAATATTAATTTATTTTCCTCTGTATTGCTGATATATAAGGATGAAAAAGTATTCATATTCTTGTCTATCTGGAAAATAATTAAAGATGTCTATTTTTAAATGTTTTCAGTGGTATTTTTAGATCTTTAGTATAAAGATAGAATAAGTACTGTAATTTTATGATACAAATTGTTAGCTAGTTGTAAGACAATACAAAATTCTTTGTATCTTCTAACATCACTTGCCTATTTTTCTATTTTGAAATTGATGATTCTGTTCTGAGTTGAGCCACAATAAATGCAGCATATGTGCATGGTCTCACTAATTATTATGTTTATGCAAAAATAGATGTACCATATTTATCTTGATTTAAGATAGGAAGATTCTAGGTGAGCTTCCTTGCTGCCCCCCATGCTTAAACAATGCAGAGAAAACGGCCTGAGATCTAATTTTCCCTCCTTACTGAATTGTGGTCATGACAACCATCTGTACAAGGATAAGCTTTACAGTATTGTCTGGTTCAAGGGTATCATTTGGACGTTATGTTTTGTGATACCATAAGCTAATGAAAAAGAATACCGTGCAGCAGTTGGTGCTTTCATCTACATATACTGCTGACTTATACTTTTGCTTTTTGTGTGTTTTGGTTTGCTTGTTTAATACTTATGAGGCCATTGTGGCAAGGAAAGTATATAAACATAACACCAATCTTTAAAAAATATGTTAATGTTTGAGAGAAGAGCCATTGCCTAAGGGAAATACCACTGTTTCTGACTCTTCAAATTTATCCATCTCTACTGGCTACCAGGGAATTTATATTTTGAATATGAAATTTAATTTTTCTCTGCTATGCCAGCAAGGCAAGATACGATTTTAAAAAGTCACGACTTTGCTTTTGCATGTCTTTATAGCAAGAGCTTGCCTAACATTATGTGGACAAAAATAAAGAAGCAAAGACAGTGCCAGGTTGTTATTCTTTAGCTCCTTTCTGAAATACAGCTGTTTATGACACTACATGGAATAAAGCTGAACATATATATTATTAAGCAGAATCTGATAGATAATCAAAGACTATTTTTTTCCTGAAGATTCTACACAAAAAAATCCTTTACTGACACTGGAGAGAAAGTAATTTAATTTGGCTTTGGTCACCCTGTGCCTCAAAGTACACATGCAATGTGTCTGGAATGGAAAACACAACAGGAGAGACTGATTAAACTGTATGTTCAAATACTTTTGAGGTATTAGCAGAAGACAAAAAAGAAAGTAAGGCGGGAAAGTTCATTCTAAAGTCATGACATAGAGTCTTGCCATATGTTAACACAAGAAACAACTGGTTGTGTTACTACTAGCACTGAACAGAAAGCAGAGATTCTAGCTTGCTCTGACTCAGATTAGTTAGGTTTTTTAATTTTGCTGTTGATTTCTTTGCCTCATATAAGCCAGTGATTAACAAGGACCCTCCTGCTGCTGCAAATACAGAATTGCTGATTTGAGCATTTTAACTTGAAAAACATTTGTAAAGGATCATTTGCACATTTCCAGTAAGATCCCCGACCCTGTAATAATCTGGTCAGGTTGGGCAAAGGAACAATGCAAGTGACTTTTCCAGTGCAGATTTCTCTTCCTGGAGTACAGCTTGTTGAACTTTCATCACCTGTGTCTATGTATACTTCAGCCATTTGATTTACTTGGTCTAGCAGATGGATTGGACGGGTGAGAGTCACACGGTCACTGCTCTAGAAAGGGGCTTCCTGCCAGATGGAGATTCAGTGACTTCCTAAACTGATTAAAAAATGATGTTATAGTATGAGTTACTAAATTAAGGTGGTGGGGGACAAGGTGTCTATGTTGGAGGTATATGGCTTGGATTTTTTCTAGCTATCAGTAACAGCTGGCCTTAAAGTACACAGAGTTTAAAATGGCTTTATTTGGTTTATTTGGCTGTAAGTTCAGATTGTACTTCTTGGATACTATGGTTGAAAGATATTATGTGGAATCCCGGTTGTAGTAAAATATAGATATGGTCTGGTGTTTGTAGTAATAAAGCTAATGGTAACAAGCTTTGGGAGGTACATTCTGGTGTAAGTAGTGCAATCCCTGTAACAGCAAACTAATCAGTTTATCAAATCCTAATTATTCTTGTAGAACGCAGGGATTCCCAGTTTCTTTCCATGCTGCCCTCAGATGCTATTCCAGCAGCAACTCCTAGATTTGTGACAGGTGGTGCTTTATGGATAGGACGGGGCCATGCAGCTCATCAACTCTGCGCTGGGTTATGCAAACTGCTTTTGGGAACAATATTCTAAGGACACGAAGGGTAGAGCTAGCATGTGTATTGCTGGTCAGCAGCTTTTATGTTGGGTTTGTGGGTTTTTTTGGTGCTGCTGGTTAAAAAAAAAATTACGTTACAGAGATGTGATTCTACTTTCAGAAGTTTTAAGTCACTTCAAAGACACAGCACATGGCTGGTTAAGACCCTCCATGTATGACACTAAAAAAAGTTGTGAGGGAGTAAAATATTGATGTATAATCGTGTTTATTCTGTTGCTGACTAGAAAGCTTGCTTTTAACTTAGATAAACACTTGTTCCAACACCACTGTTGTGATTAAAAACTTGTATGCAGGTATATGTCAGACTAAGTGTAATTTTTTTTTCCTCCTGCTGGTGACCCGTTGCCTTTAGCACCAGTGAACAGTACCTGCCTGCTATTCACAGTACATTAAAATCTGTCAAGGGCAGACAGGGGCCTCTGTGTTGTGCATATCTGGTTTTAGCAGCAGACCATCACAATTACTGAGCAGTGTCTAGGTAGCACATCCAGGGAAGAACTATTCCCTAAAACTTTCATTTAAAACTGTGAACAAGAGATTTCGATCATAAATACTGCTTTATTCTGATGTAACTAGGAGTTGGCCAGACTAAGCTGTACTCCAGTGCCCTGCCTAGGTTTCCTGCCCTGTGCCCATTCCCGGGATAGCAAACTGGTCCAGCGTCTTACTTTCAGTGGCTTATCCTGGGAGGGAAGGTGGCTTTGAGAGCTTGGCAGCATAAGCAGGACAGAGCCAGGAACTGGAAGTTCAGCCTCCAGCCCACCGATCCCAGCTGTCCCCCATGTGTTACACCAGTCTGCGGATCTGACCCAGTGTTGCATTTCAGCATTGCACAGAGGCCTAAGCAGCGCAGAGTAACTGCCCGTCGGGGCTTGGGCAAGCTTTGTAACCTATCTTACCGCTGCATTGCGCAACTGCTGCTTTTAGTCATGGGCACTACGGGGACTGGTCCCATACTACAGCCTAAGAAACTATTCACAAAACCAAGCTGTTCTCAATGACAGCAAGCCAAAAGCCTGTTTTGCTTAGCTAACACAGCTGCTGCTGAAAAACTGAGGCTCAGCTCATCCCCTCAAAAGGCAGCATCCCTACCACTGTCACCACAGAGCCGCACCCTGTTCAGC